TATTTTTGCTTTTTTTTACCTCTCAGTCTCACGAATTCATCGCGTGAGAAAGGACCGCTTAATGTGTTAGTTTGTGCATTGTTTGACAGGAGCTCACATTAACATCCAATCAAAACGCCGCTTTCACGCACTTCTATTGCAACATATTGCGGAGTGTTTGAGCACAACTTTTGGTACAGTTGGCAAAACAAATCTCGGTTGTACGATTAAAAACAAGATTGTTTAAAATACATTTATCCCGGATTAATCGTAACTCTCGACTGAACGATGAGGCCAGTTACTTTCAAATAATTGAGTATGAATTATCTCTCGCCTCTCGTGCTAGGCATACAGTCCCGAAAGCTGGCCACCGGATACTCGTTTACCAAGTCTGACACTGATAACCGCTGCCGGGGTGGTTTCCTGACATCATTTCTCGAGTCTGGCACATACCTGTGATAAACACTTTTGTTTTTACGGTATAAATATAGGACCAATATAGTTGATGAATCACTCTTTCTCGCATCGTGATGCACAACGCCACTCGACAATGAATTCTATTACAAATTATTTTGCCAAACGTCCTACAGAAGATAATCCAGACACTCCACCGCCTAATGTGGACGATGTTTGAACTCCGGGAATTTTTCTTAATTATTTTACCGTGATATCATGCACACTATTTTGTTTTAATTTTTCATAAAATTTTGATAATATACTTTTTTTTTACATCACTAACCTGACAGTTGTATTGAAAACTGTAATAATAAATTTTCATGTCAAGTACAAAAAAATGTGTTGATCACTGCTTGTTTATTTGTATGTAAAGTTTACATTTACATGAATAAATCACCTGGTTCTTCATCAGTATATGTCTTGTTCCATTTGTTGACAATCCTTCTAAAAACATTTCCTGTTCCAATTAACATCAACCAGAAGTTATATATTCTTGATGCCCCACATTCCACAACCAAAAAGGTGCAAATAAAAAAAAATCATACTTGTTTGACCCTATGACCCTTGAATAGGCGCCACTTGCAACAAATTGTGCTAAATGTATTCTAATTTTGGCGCCATGAAGAATTGAAATGTTGCAAAAAGGACGCCTAAATTAGGGTATCTACGGTATTTATAATAAATTATATTTGTTTATTAGTTCACCAAAACTATTTGATGAGATTGTGCTGTTCTCAAAGAAGAAATTATGACTGTTGTGTATTTTTCCTTTTTAATTTACTGAAAAAATAGTGTACAAACAGCATTATTTTAATTACCAAAATTAATTAAAGGGGAACTAAATAGAGCCTATTTTGGTGTTTGTATTTATCAAGTTATGTATATTGATTATAAATTTGAAAAAAAAAATGAAAAAAAAAATGATTATCTTCAGAGTTATAATGATTTAAATATGAGAAACCATAAACCTGCGAAGGACTTCCGTTTGCGCCATCTTGCCATAAAAAAACGCCCTCATGAGGTATTAACAGGTAATGTAACAAAGCATGATGACGAAATAGTATCTGATTAAATATAAGCAACTTAGGGAGCCATAGCTGGCTGGACTGGTGAATTGACTTCTAGTCTATGTTGTTTCGACTTTTACGTTAGTGTTATTTACAAGCATATCAACATACAAACATTATGGATGTGCGATTGATCGGGACAGGCATTTTGTTTTGTTTTTTGTCTGTCTAATAAATGCTGTTTCCAGTACTGCACTGTGCGGCGTGCAAATTATTCAAAGTATGGATGCTGGAGTATGCAATCTTGAGTTCGTAGGGTGGTGGTGGAAACATTTTCGTCCATGTATTCACGGGGCTGCACTCGCAAATCATGGGACAAGTGTCACAGGAACACCAAGCAGATTGTTCAGACTTCAGAGTAATTTGAAATAAAACTTTCATCTGAATTTACGGTGAAATAATGGGTAGGGTCTGTGAGGAAACAGTGGACGAAAGCATTTATCATTATCTTCGTTTTGGTATGTTTTCGATCGTACGCAAACTCTCGACGCAAAACAATTTTCCACCATGAGTTTTTTCAGCACGATTTGACCTGGAATA